ATCGGGGGATACATTGGAGATTTTTGTGGAAGCAAATCAATAAATTAGTGGGGTTCAAAAGGGGTAGTGAGGCGCAATACAAGATGCTGTTTCCAGTTAGCTCCTGACTTCCACGAAGTGCGGCTTGAGCTGCACAGGCGAACCCCGAAGAACCTGAGCATCCCTGCTGGAGATTGGGTAACCAACCCAAGTGGAAGGCAGGGTCAGGGCAGACGAGGAAGGGAGAAATGGTCCTCCGAAAAGGGGGTTTTGCTATGGACCAGTAATCCATACATGAAAAAAGAAAGACGCTACGAATCGAATGCTATTGCCTCGGAATAGACATGGAACACGGATTAGACCCAAGCTACGAAATAAGGACATTCTCTTAGGTACATGAAACGTCTTAATCTGGTTCAGATGGGGAAACAGATGGGATATTTCAAGGGTCGATTTACCTGATAATGAATGCCAATATCAGGCACTGTTCCAAAATAGCTTGCATCACAAAACAATCAAGATGCTTAATGGCTTAATGAATAATTTAAAATTGTTCATTAAGTTCATTTTGTGTAAAATTTAAAACTACCTTTAAAAATTGAAGGCAACTTCATTTCTGTTAGTGTTTGACATAAGTCAGTGTTACTGCCATGTTGTTCTATTTTCTATTGTGTTTGTTTGTTGTATTACGTACAATTTTATGTTGATTAAAACCTTATCATACTAAAGGTTTTTGCATTATTTCACTTTCTGTAGTATATTTAGTTGTAATCACAATATGGATCTTCACTTTTTCCTCTTCTACCGCTTTCCTTGTCATCTCTTCGCCTTCTAGTTATTTCTCTCGGAATAATAGTGAGCATATATAACTCGTAAACATTAACATAAACTAGAGGAATCATTGGTCCCAAAATAATATGTGAAAAAACCGAAAACGCAAAAAAAATTCAACATAGAGATAAAACAGTCCTTTTAAAGGCACAATTTGATAATATTACTCTAGAAAAATAATATTTGTAAACAAAATTAATGGAATTTATTAACAAACGTGTATCTGTGATTCAAAAATACTGTTAGTGCATTCGAAATGGGTAAAATGTCGACTTCGAAAGTTATTTCAGTGTAATTTTTGTGGATAAAAAAGTCAAAATCACAGATAAACGTTAGTTCGAAAACAAATACTAACCGTTTTTGTCTTTAATTACTTATAATAAAAACTATTTTAAGGATACATTTTCTTTTGATTTCATATTCGCTTACTTATGATAAATATACATGAATAGCCCCCTTTTATCACATTCGGGAAGCTTATATATGTATCTATCTATACAAAAAGAATAACGAATAATAAACATAAGTTAAAATTTTCCTTAGGCGTGTAAGCTTCCAAGGAAAAATCAGAAAATAAATAAATCAAATGATTTTTGAGATTCTGCAGATGTGTCGATTGTTCGTACGTTTGTCAATAATAATAATTAAGACAAATAAGGTAGGTAGATTTTAGGAAACTCCACGAATATTTATTAGAAGAGATACAAGTAACACAGTTGTAATCCTTCCAACACCGGACACACAATGCTGAGTTTTACAATGAAAAGATCTTTTTAAAGATTATTTAAGACGACTTCCACTCATAATGAAGCACTAAAATAATATAAAAATACTTACTAACAAAAATACGAAGTAGGAATGCTTATTATAGACCAGGAACAAGCTTCAAGCTGATCTGATAATCCAGCACTTAGGTCGTTTCAGGACAAATTTTAACTATGAATCTAATCAAGAAGTACAAGGCTAAGTATGTGGTAGTCATGCAGGTTAACTAAAACCTTATGGGATGAGGCCAGGAAAGACAAATGGACCAAATTAAACGACATATTAAACGAAAGCGACAAGAAATATAACTGCCAGATATGGCGATAGGTTGAACAGTGGCAGCTGGCTGTTCCAAAACTGATCATGCGGCGAGAATGATAGCCACAGAAAGAAGGAAATTTCATCCCATAACGATGGCAATTTCAGTAAGTGAAGATGGTATGTTTAGCGACCCGACTCACACTCGGCGGCATCTCGGTTCTGGGCCGGATGGTGTGAAATATTACTGGCTGCCAAGGTGTGAGGGACCAGGCACCTGGCAGAAATTCTGCGAGTGAATCCAAATTTGCACTCAATTTAAGAAAATTACAGCGAATTGGTACATTGAATGTCCAGGAAATGATTCAAAACCCTGGAAAGTTACACATTGAAAAAGAACTGGCTGACTACAATCTTTAGGCACTGAGAATCTTAAAAACTCACTGGAGAAGTAAAGGGCATTTTAAAACAACTGCTGGTAACGTCGTCTATTTTTCAGGCCCAGATAAAGTACAAATGGAGTCACAATAATTGTACCCCCTAAACTAAACGACTGCTTAATTGGATATAATAATGTTGATGACAGGATAATACCCATTAAAATGATAATATCCACCAATACCCTATACCTTGTCCAGACATACGCTCCTACAACAGCTTCACAAGAAGAAGATATCAACAGGTTCTATGGTCGTTAGAAGAAACTGTTAGCGCTATTCAGATTCGTGAACTAATCATAGTTTTAGGAGTCTTTAATGCCAAAGTAGGGTCATCTAATGAAAATATTGAAAGAGTGCTGGGCAAAATGGACTGGGATAGAGAAATGAGAATGACGACCGTTCAGTGAAGTTCTGTGAAGAACAACATCTTACAATTACAAACACGTTCTATCAACATCATCCACGGAGATTATAAGAAATAAAATAGACTACATCCTAATAAGATCAAGATGGAAGTCGTTGGTCATCAACTGTAAAACACATCCTGGCGCAGACTGTGCAAGCGATCGTCAATTCCTGGTACTAAACGTTCGACTTCGTTTTAAAGTCCCCAAAAGAAGACCCCTAAAAAAGTCATGTCTCTAAATCCATAAAAAATCAATGACTTCCAACAAAACCTAGAAGAAGCTCTTTGTTTGGACCAAGAAGATATGACCCTGAGAGCACCAGAGCCTCGAGCCCCGAACGATAAGGTAATCGAGGCTTCAAAAGACTGAGGCAGCGGTTTCCACGGGCCGTAAGCCATGAATATCTGATAATTCGTGGACTGTGATTTAACTAAGTTGTCTAACTAAAGTTTGGAAAGACAGATATACCTCTTAAAATGTCAAGATGAGATTGATGAATGCCCTTGTATTCTCAATATTTCTATACGGGGCAGAGAAAGTTGATGACTTTGAGATATGGTGCTGGAGAAGAATGCTCTGAATACCTTGGACAAACTCATAGGACAAACGTTTCCATTCTAAATCAACTCGAGATTAAAAAAGGCTATCCACAATATGTCTGCAATGTATTTTGGGATAAATTGTTTCTGGAAACGTCCCAGGGAGAAGATCAAGATTAAGAATTCAGCTGGAAGCTCATCTGCAAAGCTCTAAGAGTAACTGAAGATAGAGACCAATGAAGAAAAATTGTTAGAAATATTGGAAGAGATCACGATAGTCATTAATGGAAAAAAGACATGAGAGAGGGCATGAGAAAAACTTCAGGAATTACTGCGCTGCATCACCTCCAGGCCACTAAAAAGTAACTCAAAGGTAAACAGATAAATATGCCTGAATGGTAAGTATGAATATACTGGATATACCAAGAAAAACGATATCAAAATTTCTTGACGAGAAGAAAAATTGACCCTTTGAGAACTGCAAAGACAAACCTTCACACGCAGGAAACAAAGTTGGTGGTTTAAAAGATATCACAATAAAACAGATAAAGCTTTCGTATCTATTACAAACAAATGTGAAGGGGACTGAACTTTCCTGGAAGAAAGCCCAGACATTTCTGCACTCCAATAAATCACCAATAAAGCCAAAAACTTCCCAGTCGCGCTATTATAATTCTGGACAGAATTTTTCAGACTATGAACGAAAAAATTAATCTACAACAAGTTGGTTTCAGACCCAAAAAGCCTCGTTGTAGCCAGGTTTTGAACCGTAAGCAGTATATCGGAGGAGAGATTTTAGTAACGAATAGTCACTGAAGTTATCTTTATAGACCTTTGTGATGTTTATGACACACTCAACAATCGCTGTACTTGCCAAGATGTACCACCTCACCAAAGCCCTTCTCTACAGGAAAGAAGAGTCGGTGAGGGAAGCAAGTTAATGTTTAGATACGTTTATTATTTAATGTTTACACCAATATCATATTTAATAGACCAACCAGTTGAAGATATACTTATGTAGATAATACAGTTGCTTGCACCCAGCGAGAACCTATCAGAGAATTTGGAAGAGTTTTCGAGGTATTAACGCACTAAATATCTTAAAACGAATCCTGACAAAACAGACTTGTATGTTTTATCTGCGTAAAAAGAAACTAAAAGGCAGCTGAAATTGTAGCCTAAGATTAAACTGAAACGTTGCAGCTATCCCAAATATCTGGATGTTAAATTACTCAGAATATACATCGAATACATCATCTGCACGCTGGCAAACTCGAGCGGGAAGCGCATCGACAAATATTGACAACATTCCCTTAGGCAAGAATCTTTTCGGGTAGGCGAGTATTCTGCTATAGAACGTGGGGACTCGGTCTTCGGTCGTTAATGATGTTAATATCGACTCAATGAGGCTGCACTTTTGCCCGATATCCATACATACAACTGGAGTAGAACGCCTTCATATAAGAAGAGTGGCAGTGGGAATAGGCAGAGCTAGTTTACCCAATACATAATTACTACTGCGTCTCTTCTCAAATCAGGACACAGCTTCATCCAAAAGACTTCATTAGTCCGTACAAATACGAAATATGGACTGCCAGGCAGAAAAGTAAGTTGTTTATCCTGATTATTGAATTAGAAGACAAGTCTTGCAAAAAATACCTGACCAGAAAATAATAGATATAAAAAATACCATAAATATCATTATTTTGATATACTTGCTAGGCTGGATTGTTTCATATCATTATTATTTACTCAAACGTACAGACAACCAATAATTGAATTTACATTTGAAAATCTTCAAATTTAAGTTGAGGTCCGTCCTCGCAAAAGAGGTCCAAATAACCTTTGTTGGGCCCAAGTCGAGGATCAGGCGGACTCTGGAAACGGCCTCGTTCCGTAGAGCCGAAAGCCTCGTTGAAATCAGGTAGAGGCTTCGAAGACGGTTTTTTTGGTGCTACGGAGTATGGAGGGCGAACGATACCCATTGATGGCGTATTTGACTGCCGAAACATAAATAGTTTATTATTATGGACATTTTACACTTATTTGCAATTACATTGAATACAATTATCTGATCTGTTTATGATTCCATAGTTGTACTGAATAACTTACCCGTTTCATTTTGGTATCTTCCATCTTCTCAAACTGCTGATGATGACTCTGTTGTTGATTAACTCCGACGCTAGCCCCAAAAACGGAATTTCCGTACTCATTTTGATGCTGGACGTTATTCTCCATCAACGGCTGCGGAGCTTCTACTGTGTGTTTCACATCGAGATGTTGAAAATCTTGGGGCATCATCTTCTCCTTGAGATGCACCGGTTCATCGGGAGGTACGTTCTCGTTGGAGTGCGGTGGGGTCATCGCCATTATAGAGTTGGAGTGTGGAGGAGTCATGGGCATCGATATGGGGTTGATATTGTGTATGTGGTGTACGGGCGTTTGTCGGTGTTTGTCCATCATCATCGGACTGGGTATGCTAAGCGGAGGAGACGGTTGGTGATGATGGTACGGTGATTGGATGTCTTGCATCATGAAAGGGTTACCTATAAAAACACTCGTTATAGCAAAATTCAAACATAGAGGACTTTTATTTGGCTTTGATTACAATTTTACATACCGGAAGATCTTGGCCTCAAATCGTCTTGGTAATTGTGCCACATCTCCGTTTGTTGTTGAAGTTGTGTTAAAGGATTCGGCTGAAACAAAATATAAGGAATTAATATTTTTTGTATTCAATATATAGTACTAAACGATCAATTTCGAGGGGAAGGTTATGTTATTTTGTTTTCTTTTAAAAGTTGGCCTTTATAGTAGTTCTAAAAGTATTGAATCATATTAGGCTTCAAAACCAATAGTTGTAATAGATTTAGGATCAGCAACTTGTTGGTTGATTTGTTTATATTCCCAAATTAACATGTGATTTCAATTTTTTTTAAGATATTTGAACATTTCTAAATGATAATTCTTTATTTTCGACACGATTATGTGTTTTTTGTTTGTTTCAAGATTTTCAACATGAACCTAGTTTTGTTATTGACCCTGTACATTTTGTTGGGTGACATGAAAAGAGCCTCCACGCATATTGCGAACACATGTGAAAGCAATCGGGCGTCCCCTGGAAACGAGTAATGTCGGCTAATCCTTTCACCATCGGTGCACCAACACAGATGCAAACGTAACCAAAATGGTCTTTGTCAACGTTATTTTTGATGACTACTTCAATTAATATTGAAGGACTATCAGCAAATAAAGAAGATCTATTGTATAATATATGCAAAGAACACAGTGTCGATGTCCTACTGGTTCAAGAAACCCATCGAGGTACTGCAAGCCGCAGACCAAGGTTTCGAGGTATGAGACTTGTACTGGAGAGACCACACGACGAGTATGGCAGCGCAGTCTTCGTCAGACCAGATACCGACGTAGTTTCCACATCTTTAACACATCGAGATCCTCACAGTGGAACTAAAGTCTTCAACTGTCACAGTATCGCGTGGGGGTATAAAGAAGCAGACTCCAATGGCAAAGAACTAGAAAATTGGACTGAAAACATGAACCTCAAACCTATTCATGATTCAAAACAGCCCGCTTCTTTCAACAGCGGAAGATGGCGCAGAGGTTACAACCCAGACAATATATTTGTCAGCGACAGGATTGGAGACCAGGTGACAAAAATTGTTGGAAGTGCCCTCCCAAAAAACACAGCACCGACCGATAACTTGCCTTTTGAACGCGGCATTTTTAATATATACAAATTTTTCAGTTTTGTACATTTATTTTTCGTTTTATTTACACAAAAAATTCAAAGGTCCTATTTTGACCTGGTCATACCTAAATCGATTTCTTTTTTCACCATTTTGTTTATGTATTTGTTCACGGTTGTACAAATAATATTATATACTACTCGCATTTGACAGACATTATTAAATTAAAAATATAAAATTACACTATCTAAAGAATATCTAATATTGGCTTTATTCGAAGGTTTATAAAATAAAATAAAAAAGTAAATCCTGTTAAAAATAATATTTAAATGATAAAGGTTATTATATCAAATATTTAAATCCGCCACGCGCCTCTTTAGCTCAGTGGTAGAGCACTGGTCTCGTAAACCAGGGGTCGTGAGTTCAAACCTCACAGGAGGCAATAAAATTTTTAAATCTAACAAAAAGTATATTTTAAAATTTAAAGAAACAGTTAAAAGATTTTATATAATTACGAGTATGTAGCTGTAAATATATCGATAAACAATTAAGTGTTAAGTGACCCCAATATTTCTGAAATTAAATGTTTTTTATATTAATTATATGTAAATAACAGTTTGCCAGTCAAAAAGTGGCTGCAAATATTTTTATTTCAATTAATATTAATTAAGTTTTGAGCATACGTTTTATTTCGTTCATTTATTTTTTAAATAAAATACACTGCTCATGACGTATATGCATGTTTATTTTTATAACAAATTTAAACTAATGTTTTTCTTCATATAACGATATAGGGTTCCCCACATGAGATGAGGTCCAAAGAATGGTTATTGATGTTCTTCTGCTGTGGTTTTGATGACAGATGTGTTGAATTTTTTGGACTATAGGATTTAACGAGTATATTTATGTTACTGGCAATGGACTGAATTGAAGAAAGAGAATCGGTGTATATAGCTAGAGATTTGGTATTAGGAGAAGTCCTTTCAAGAGCTTTAAGGATACCATATAATTCTGCAGTGTAAATACTACAAGTGGTTGGTAGTCAGTGTAGAGCTAAGGTTATGTTTTCGGTACAGACAGCACAGACAGTATTCTTTTTATCTTTAGATGCGTCGGTATAAAGAACTTGATTGTACTGTTTTGCATTTATTGCTTCTTGAAATAATTGTATAAGGAGGTGGTTAGGAGTATCTTCTTTTTTATATCGAGTTAGACTAGTACTGAATGCAGGTAGCTTTTTGGTCCGTGGAGGAATATTGCAAGTACCAATGGTGGTAGTTATATTCAGGTCTATAGCTGCTAGCAAAGGATTTACTAAATGTGGAAGGGGGTAAACAGATCTGTCTCTATGTTCAGGAGCGTGGTGGATGTTAATGAGCTTAATTACTGGATTTTTTGGATTGGCGGAAACTCTAGTGAAATAAGAAGAGAGTAAAAGCTAACGTCGTATGAAAAGAGGAGGTTCTCTAGCTTTAATGCACATGCTTTCGGCGGTGTTAGTTCGAAATGCACCTAGACATATACGTAAGGAGGTCGTTTGCATTGAATTTAAAAATTTAAGATAAGTTTTATAGGTGATCATGTAGAGCATGCATCAATGATCTAATCTAGAGCTAATAAGAGCACTATAGATTCTCAATAACGTACTTTCTTCAGCTCCCCATTGATGATGTGCAAGTGTTTTCAATATGTTTAATTTACCAGCACAGTTATCCTTTAGATTTTTTTGTATTTTTCAGTTTAACTTCTGATCGAATATTAGCCCCAAGATTTTATGATGATTTACTGTAAGCAAAGGAACATCGTTTAGATATACTTCGGGGTTTTGAACACGTTGATTTTTGATAAATCTTAGTACCTTAGATTTTGAGATGGAAATTTGATGACGTATTGTGTGGACCAAGAATATACGTTAATTACAGCATATTGAATAAGATTTGATGTACTGGATATGCTTGCTCCACTTCAGTAAATAAGTAGATCATCAGTGTACAGTAGACCTTTTACCGGTTGACGAACTTCTTTTGAGATGTTATTAATTGCTAAGTTAAACAGATATAGACTTAAAACCGAACCTTGAGGTACACCATTGAGTTGTTCGATTACATTTGACTCATTACCGTTTATTGCAACTTTATATTTACGGTGATTTAAAAAGTTATCTATGAACGTGTAAATATTGCCTGTAATATTCTTATCGATAAGTTTCTGTAATATTACATTCTTTGGAATAGTATCGAAGGCACTTTCAATATCGAAGGCTGCCACAACTGTATCATGTTGCTTATTGAAATTCTCGGTTATATGGTTTTATAATAATACTTTTCAGAAAACCAATTAAGTATATTATTGATTAGTTTTACCATATTGATTATCTCTACAGCTTGGGGAACTTTTCGTTGATCCAAAGAAGATTATAAAATGAAAGTAATTTTGTAAGTCCATTCATGGCTAAATTTTTGAAGAATATAGAGGGTGTTACAGCCATTTGATAATTATTTTGTTTGTATACCGCTTTAAATGCTGAAGTTACAAAATCTCTTATTAAAATTCAAAGAAAGCTTTAGCTATAAAACCTTTTTAAATCATAACAATCTTTCCACTTGTCGGCAATAATTTTTATATTTTATCGCCATCACTTCAATTTATTTTGTTTATTTTAACGCGTAAGTGGTGTAATAGAAACTGATGAGTTCTTACAGTTGACTAAGAATCTGAGCGCTGAACGGTCGGTATCCGTGGCGTAGTATTTTTTAATTTTGTGTATGTATAGATTGATGCTTATAAGTGATAATTTTGTTACATCATTTTTTAAAAGCACGCGATATGTTTTGTTGGGAACTGGCAAATATAGATTTTCAATAATTTTGAAGTTTAATTTTGCAATATACGAACCGTGTATTTTATACGCAAATTCGGGTAGAATTGCGTTGGTACACACTTGACATATTTGGCGACCGTGACAGGACTGTTTCCATAAAATTAATCGTGGTTGTATACGAGGTGTAACAAAATTGAATTGACGATCACCGGACAAACTTTATCGCGTTTCGCCTGTAACTTTCGGTAAACGTGTGTGGTTTTGACCAAGTTTGCAGAGAAAAATGGATCAAAAGAAGAAACATCGCAAAGTGCTCCGTAGCACCTTCACGAGGACGGCGAATGAAATGGATAAGCTTTTGTCGGCGCCGGAGAGTGAGATACGATCAATTAAAGTTTCCTTGGATCTATTACGCCAAAAAATTGAAGACCTAAGGAAAAGTGATGAAGAAATCTACGGTCTATTACTAAGTGAAGACGCTAGTGAAGAAGACCTTTTAGCAGAAATTGAGTGTAGTGACAACTATAGCAAGAAGTTTTTAGATCTCAGTATGCAGTTCGAAGACCGTATGCAGTCAATAGTGACAGGTGCAGTGGAAGGTGAGGTAGCTTCTAGGATATCTGATGATAGGAGTAGTTTAGACAGCAGACGCGGTAAGCGAAAATTTAAATTACCTACATTAGAGTTCAAAAAATTCGACGGGAATATTAAAAACTGGTTGCCTTTTTGGTCACAATTTCAAAAAGTTCATCATGATCCTGACATAGATCCGAACGACAAGGTCGAATATTTGATTCAAGCTACTATACCGGGTAGTAGAGCTAGGCAACTAGTGGATAGTTTTCCCGCCACTGGAAGTAATTATGATGCTATGATTGACTGTCTTATTTCGCGTTTCGGTCGGGATGACTTGCAGATCGAAGTTTATGTACGGGAATTACTTAAATTAGTAATAAATAATACTGCGTCTGGCAATAAATTAGATCTATCCTTGTTATACGACAAATTAGAGACTCAGTTGAGGGTTCTGGAGACACTCGGTATTAAGTCGGATAAATACGCGGCTATGTTATTTCCTTTAGTTGAATCCTGTCTACCTTCAGATTTATTAAGAGTTTGGCAACGATTGCCAGAAAGTATCGGATCACAAGCGTCACTTAATTCTGCCGGC